TCAGCTTTAATCCCCTCTATGATCCTCTAACCATCAGAACCCATGGCTTCCTAGTACTGGCAGGATTAAACACATTTACATTTATCTCCCAAGCAGTCAAGTTCCCTCCACTCAACCTTCCTGAAAGTGACTTCCCGATTTCGTGGCCCCTCCATCCTCGGGAATCTGACCTCCACACACCTTCCCCGTAGCTGACTGCTTTCAGAGGGCCCGGAGTTCTGCTCCGAATGCCCTCTCCTTTCTGATGATACAAATGTTTCTATATAATAACTTCCCAATTTAAAAATTAATTATTCCTCTTAGTATGCACAAGTGTATCTTGTTCTTGATTTTAATTGCAGGATAATTTTTTCCTAATGTTTCATGTAAGTCTGGCCTTCTCAAATAAACTGTAAGATCTTCTAGGGCAATAATTATGTCTTCTGTGCTACTATGTTCAACAAGACTGGCACAGGATCATGTATGGGGTGTGTGTGCAAAAAAAACTTGATGAATGAAAGAATAAGTTTTCTAGATTATGCGCCATAACATGAATTGCCTAGGCAGGTCATTATCACCCTAAGTTGGTGCAGCTTTCCAGTGAAGCAAGAATATTGACGTGTTGTGTGTGTGTGTATGAAAGGGGCTGGGAGAATGGAGAGGAATGGGTACTCAGTGTGCGTATATGTGTGTGCCTGACTGAAAAAAAAATCTCAGTGTCAAAATAAATTTATTTTGAAATTATTTAATGATGAAATGTACATGTCCAGCAGTAGGACAATATTTTGTAGCTTTAAATATAATTTGAAGACTAGAAGCATGGAAAAACAAAAGCACTCTGTGCTTTATGAAAAAGACAAACATAAAAGTGATGCCCTTTCCCATCTTTTCATCTGTCTAAAATGCTTTATAATTAAGAGTGCATCAAAAGCAGTACTTTTAAAGAAGAGAAAAAGGCAGTAGCTGACAGTTAGTTATATGCTGAGATAAAATTAACCTTTAGCAAAATTGTTAATTATAATGGTAAGATGCCCATTATACAGATTTCTTTAGTTAACTACTTTTACTTTACTTATTATTTTGTTTAGTCTTTTCTCCTGCCCTGATCTTCTCTGATGATCTCAGTCTGGACTTTTTTTTTTTACTTTTCTAGAATACCTTGAATAAAACTTACTTGTCATATTACCTCTTGCTAGGGTCACCAATTATTCCTAAATAATGGAATATGTTAAATGCTAACAAGTGAACATGCAGCCTCCCTTGGTAAACATGCCATCTAGAGAAAAAGACACAAAGTAACACTTTGGTTTACTCAGCCTCTACAGGTCTCTTCATTCATTCATTCATTCAGCTTTTGTTTATGTCATTCAATAATTTTGATGATTATCCAGAAGGCATACTTCTCATATTGGTGGATAATTTGAAGCAGGAGATACAGAAAATACAATGAATGGTAGAAATGGACACCAGAAAGATTTCCACAGGCCAGAAAGATGGACTAAATGAAACATGATGTTTAATAAGAATGTGTATAAGGGTGTGCGATTTCAGCTGTCAAGAGCCATGGCTATGCAAGCATAGCCAGATTGCAGCTCTTGTGAAAAAGTCTCAGGGTTTTAACCAAGAGCAAGTTCCGTAAGGGTTCAGGATGCGAAGTAGCCAACAGAAAAGGCTCCTTTGATCTTCGGTTGCAGGAACATAAGTATAGTATCTATGTTATAGCCCCTGGAGAGTAGAAAGAGGTGGGGGGCTAACTAGGAATCCAGAGCTGGACACACAGCTTCAAAAAGCAGCTGAAACCCCTATTAAATCAAATTAGATAAGTAGCAGCAGTGCCAGCCTATGTGAGGAGCAGGTAGTCAGGAACAGAGTGGGGGACAGGGAGCAGAAAGGGGAGGAGTCAGGATGCTCCCTGCAGGGGTCCCTGGGGAACGCCATCAGAACTTACAACATCTACCAAATAAAAGCACAGGTGTATCTGCCTGGTGAACTCAGTAGAGCTTGCTGTACAAGGCTTGTGAGCTTGGGCTTCTTAGACCAGGGACCTCTAGCTGTCAAGTGGATATATATTGTGAGGTGTTTCTTTTTAAAATATGAAACAAGAGTTTCATAACATCATATGGTTCTTATAGCCAATCACACATATTTATGCTACACAGTATGCAACCATGGAGTCTATTCTGTCTTTGATCTAAAGCTACTGAACCCATTTGGAAACAGAATTCCTGATGGAGCCCCAGTGACAACCAGCTGAGCAGTTCCAGCTTAGTCTACTGAAGGAAGTAGGGGCCCTGGACCCTCCTGTCTCCTCCTGATGCTCCCACACTGTTATCCAGTCTTGAATATTAAAGCCGTTGGTTTTACCAACAATGTGTCTCTGAACAGGGACTAGAAAGAATCCTCAAGAGAATGTTTGTAGCTGATAACAAGAGAGAGTGTCTGGTTTTGCAGGAGATGAAATGCTCTTTTGTATGTGAGCAGGAAGCAAGCAGATAGTCTACTTCAATAGCTTTTTATACCCACCAGGCATGTTGAAATGGATCTTTTCTATCACTAATCTATACAACCTCTTTCGTTAGTGATTGAGTTAGAAGACTAGCCCGTTCTCATTCAAAGGTATTATCTTTTCTGGGGGAGGGTTGAGAGACATGCATGCCTCTGTTCCCCATTACTTTCGCTTAGATATTCATTTATCTAAACGCTAAAATTTAAGCTAAAATGAAATCACATATGCAATCCTGTGACGATTTGTAGCATCTTGAGGTCTTATAAGGAGGCTAATGCAATATCAGAAGGAATAGTAAAGAAATTGTCGACTATAAATTAAAAGTCTGCAACTTTTCAAAAGAATAGTTGAGGAATTTATGGAGGACCACTCTTAATGCAGCATGATTTTTGTGTAAATTAAGTTGGATTTGACCATGAATTTAACCTTAAATAATTGAACAACATATTAGTATTGTTGACTGGCATCTTAGTTTATGAAGATAATTTCAGCTGTCCAACAAAAACCTGCTCTGGCTTCACAAATAAACTCCATGAGGAGCCATGACTGGCAGACAGATACGTAGAGTGTTGTCTGTGTGTTCAAAAAAATCAAATAGCTCTTGAAAAGTTGCAGCAAACTTTTTGTAGGTTGTACTGTGGTCCCCTTTTCCCCGCAATCAGTTAAGTGTCTATCCTGAGAAGCCCCCCCTGCATTCTCAGGACAGTGCCCTCCTTTCAGCACTCTCACCCTTGCACCATATCGTCATTTATATCCAACTCGTCTCCAGGTTCTAAGCCCCTTAGAAGACAGAGTTGGTGTCTACGAATAACTGGTTGTGCCTCTAACCCGGTGCCTGCCCCGCTGAAGTGCTGTAGAGGACAATGCTGACAGCTTCTTTCCGGGAGAAAGCGAGGGAGTGACAAGCAGCTCTGATGTGAAGCAGAGGGGGACACGCTGGCTTTCTGGGTGGGTCCCAGGCTGTGACCTGGGCTGGGGGACCCGTTGCAAGAAGGATCCGCTGGCAGCTTCCAGCCGGGCGCTCCGTATTTACTGTTCACTGGAATGATCCTGTGGTTTGGAAGGACTCAGGCTTGGGGAAGCAGAGAAAAGGGGCCAAGGGAGAGTGGTAAGGAGCACTGGGAAGGTAGAAAGAGCTGGTGAAGCCGGCAGGCGAGCAATGACCCCACGCAGTCCTCCTTGCTTCTGAACCACACGGGGCTGCAGCTCAGGCGCCCTAGCGCCAGGTGCACCGGCACGGCACGCGTTTGCTGCGTGGGGCGGAGGGTGGCGGGGACCTGTCTTTGCTCTGCCACCCAGAGGTGTGGCAACTTCGGGTTGCCCAACCTTCCCAGGCGGGGAGGTAGTCCAGTCCTACAGGAACTGTCGCTGGACCCGTTTCGGAGCCATCACGGTTGCTTTTATCATGCCCCTCTGGCATGTTCCAATGGAACTATTTTTCAAGCCAGCGGTATTTACAGACACAAGGCTGGGCTGCTCTGCGGAGTCTGGGACGATTTCAGCCTTTGAGGTAATGCAGACATCATTGAGGAACCTGAAATTAGAGTCATCGCTAATACCTAGCGCCTCAAGTTCATTTTATCGGGGTTTGTTAGAAGGGCAGCAGAGTCCCTCATCTTTCGTAGCAAGCTGCCATCAGAAAGAATTTTTTTAGAGCATTTAGGAAATAAAGTTCAAGTGCTCGGCCCTTACAAGTTCCAGGAGCGGTTTCACGCCTCGGCTTTTTAAAAAGGTACCATGGTGTTATTCCTTGTTTTGCTTCTAGGAAGCGGAGGGTTTAGGAAATGACTTGGGCGGGTGCATCCAAAGCGGCCGAAAAAGACAGACGCACTCCCTAGGGACCTGAGCGGGTTCGCCGTCTTCCCAAGGTGCCAGGCATGGTCCGGTCCCCTCCCGCGCTCCCAGTCCCGTCCGCGCTGCCGAGGGTCTCGGGTGTCTTCCTCGCCGTCTGGGGACAGTCGGCGGGGTCAGGGGCGGCTGCACGACGCTGGAAGAGCAAGGAAGGGGAGGGCGCCGGACTGCGCCTCGCTCCTCCGTGCCAAGGACACCGTCGCGGAGGCGCGGTCAGCTTCCCGTGGATCGGACTTCCCGCCCCGGGAGCCGGGCGCTGGAGCTCCAGCCCTGTCCCCTTCCCAGCGTCGGGCGGCCCCCCAGGGCTGAGTAAGCCGGGCGGAGAGAGACTGAGGATTTCCTGAGCGCTAAGGAAGGAGGAGGGGACGGGGGCAGCAAGGACCATGAACCTGCGGGGCCGCGCTCCGGGCAGGGTCGCGGGCCCCCCCAACCCCCACAGCGCGCTCCTCTCCGCCCCGCCGCGCGCTCGGCCCCCAGCCACCCGCCCCCGGCGGCCCCCGCCCGTCTCCGGAGCCGCAGGGACCCAGGTCCCGGAGGAAGAGGGTAGGTGGGGAGGCGGATGAGGGGTGGGGGACCCCTTGACGTCACTGGAAGGAGGTGCCGGGGTAGGAAGTGGGCTGGGGAAAGGTTATAAAGCGCCCCCGCCCTCGGCTCCTCTGCATCGAGGTCCGCTGGAGGCTCCGGGCGCGTCGCGCGGACACTCCTCTCGGCTCCTCCCCGGCGGCGGCGGCTCGGAGCGGGCTCCGGGACGGGAGCGCCGCGGCCAGAGGGCGCCGGGCCGCGGGGATTACTCGGCGCAGGGCTTGTCTCGCCGGCTGGATCGCGGAGAGAGACGCTCGGGGCGCGGGGCCGGAGGGCGAGGAGACAGGCTCGGGCGGCTGGTCGGCGGCCGCGAGGAGCGCGGGCACCCGGCGGGCAGGCCGCGTCGCGCTCACCATGGTCAGCCGCTGGCACACCGGCGTGCTGCTGTGCGCGCTGCTCGGCGGCCTGCTGCTCACAGGTGAGGCGCGGCCGGGGTCGGAGCCGGCGCGGGGCCGCGGTGGGGCGGCCGCGGGCACAGCCGCGGGGCTGGGGCCGGGCGCGAGCCGGGAGGCGAGGCTGCCTGCACCGCGAGCAGAGCCTCCGCCGGGCCCCGGGACGCTGGTTGCAGCGGGCGCCCCGGGGAGTCGTGGGCGGGGGTCCCCGTCCGAACGGCCACTGTCAGGTCTGCGCCGGGACTGCCCCTTCGCGGCCGGAGTCGCCGCGCCTTTCTGCCTGCTCGCGGGTCGGTGTCCCCGCCCGGGCTTCAGGCTCGGGCAGCGCCGCGCGCCCGGATCTGCCTGACACCCAGAGCCTGCGCCCCGGGCCGCCTGGCGCTGGTGCGCGGGGCCCCCGGCGGCGTGGAGGCCGGGCCTTGGCGATGCCGGGCACGGGGAGAGGAAGCCCACCCGGAGGGGGTCACGAGCCCGCCTTAGCAGACAGATCCCAGGGGCGGGAAGAGCTCGTACGCTTCCACCCACTTCGCGCCCCGGAGCGCGAATGTCCCCGGGATCGTTCCCCGGGCGTCTTCTCCTCCCCGCCGCGCGCAGCCACCCTCGGGGGGCGCTGCCGCCGGGGCCGCCCAGGTCGCTGACCCGAGTGAACCGGACCGACCAGGGCAGTCGAGGACCCAAATGCCGTTACGTGTCGGAATTTTAAGCCTAACCTTTAAATATGAGCGAAGAAAGGGTGAATAATTTGGACCAAAAGATGCAGTTGGAGGAATCGGTGAGGTCTGCCCGTCTGCTGGGCGTTAGGGAACCAGGCGTCCGAATGAACCGTCGCGTCGCGGGCCAGGAGGATGTGCCGCATTGGCGTGGAGGCCACCGGGTCGATGCGTCTAGCCGGCTGGGATTTAGGGCCTTTTCTGCCCAGTGGGGCTGAGTGGCCCAAGAGCTCCGGGTCAGCCCCCCAGGGCGCAGAAGGCCAGATTTCGGAGCGCTTTTTTTTTTTTTTAAGCATGGAAAAAAGCTAAAATGTGAAATTATTAAATGCAGTAATGTAAAAATAGAGCCATGATTACAGGTACCCAAAAGGCAGTAACGGTTAAATACGGTTTCCCGGTTTAGAGCGCCGGATTCTAAATAACAATAGTTGAGATTAAACTGGAGAAACTATTAAACCCAGAGGGCAGGCGAAGTGGTAATGAATGAGAAGTCGCACTAAGTTGGGAAAGTGGCTAAAATAACTACATTGAATGAAATAGTGCTTTTCTATTTCAAACATTTACTTTTGTTCTGAGAAGTGACTTATATCGACACTAATTGCTTAGAGCATTTAAATAACTTGCTGAAGTTCGTCCATTATGTAAAGGTAAATTATTATGTAAATTATTGTGAACCCCCAAAATAGAGAGAAAAGTATATTTTATTGGATTTTTCTACTTCACACATATACATCTTGATTTTTGTTTCAAAAACGTGGTTGACTGCTGAAGGGGAATAGTTCTATCGTAATGAGGAGCAACTTAGTTCCGTGGGAGCTTTTCAGAAACGTGAGTGCGATCCCCTTGTGATTTTGCTTAGATTTGTTTATATTTAATGAGGCAGAAATCTTGGAACTCTTTCGTGATTTAAAAAAAAAATGACATTTGTTATAGGAAGAAAGCAAGACAAAAATCATTGGCAGGGTGAGAATCCCTTTACCTGCCGGTTTAGAGAAAGTTCTATCAGCGCAGGAGGTTCCACATTACGGACTCACGCCTTTGTAAGCCAAGGGCTTTTTGGCTCGTTAACAGATTTCTCACAGTAAAACAGTCAGCAACCTACTTTCCAAGCGGCCCCAGGGTTTTCAGACTGAGCAGAGAGGCTACATCTCTGGGGAGTGGTGTCCATAAAGAGGCCAAGTTTCTGCCAGGTGGATTGATTAAATGTCCTCCTGCACCCCTCATGGGCTGGAGTCTGCTAACCTTCAGGTGTTATAAAGCCTCTGAATATTTGTGAGTTATTGATAATGCATAGGCGAGCACGGAGGTATATGAAATATCCAAAAGATAATGCATTTCTCCCCCAAGAGTTTATTTACCTCCTTGTAAATATGCTGGGAAATAAAAAGGTGCCAATAATTTAGATACTTTCAAGTCCCTCTATATTGCAATCGCTTTCTCTAAAAAGGATGCCAGTCGTCCTTTTTGCGAGCTCAAAGTCTCATTTTCTTACTTGGAAGGTATGTGAATAAAGCCACAGACCCTTTTCCTTTTGTCTCCATTTTTCTTAAGTTTTTGAGCAGCTGACACGTACAATTTGCTGTGACTAATTGGAAGTGCTTCACTTATGACTTTTGAGGAAGTCTACAGTGATAAAGTTAAATCAAAATGTACATGCAAATAATAACAATTTCCAAAATTAAATAACACGTTATTTTACTAACACATTTAGTTATACATAACAATTTTTGTTGTTTTCTCTGAGGTTTTATTTTCTCCAGAGCCACACTTTCTTCACTGTGTTTTTCTAAATTGCACATTGGAAATGTTAACTTTTTAGCGCCGTTGACAATTCATATGCTGTTTTCCAATGGATGGATCATGTTGCTGATGTTGCTGTAGGTAGCCACCTACTCTAGTTCCGCAGTGTTTTTACCTTATCTATTATTTTAATATCAACTTAAATTATTTGAATTCATAGTTATTTTTTCTTTCCCTGTTGAAAATTCAATAATGGGCTATCCGGTTTCTTTCTGGTGATGATTCGTAAAATTCGGAAGTTAAAATATGTAGATGGTTTCTTCTCAGGCCCTTTCCCAACTCCAACATTCAGTGAGTGATTCTGAGAAGTGGACCGAACAGTGCCCGTCTGTCTCTTTTTTTAACCTCCCTTATCACATTGCATTTGCATACTGAATGGGTGGGGCTGTCTTGCGATGCCAGAGCTGTCTGTCAGGCTGAGCGGGGGCTTCCCCTGCCCTCAGTAATCACGTTGCATTTTCTTTTTCAGTGGTGAAATGCACCTGACCAACTGATTAACTTGGTCTTTAGTGGGTTGCAAGAGCCAAGCTGTGAGACAATGCCCCAAGCCAGCAGTAATCATTACCTTGGGCTGTTTTTCCTCACAGAACGGGGAACTCAATGAAGCCGACTTTACTTCTTAACTCGAGTTACAGGAGCTCTTCTAAGGATACAAATCATTTTCAACCCATACGCACTTCTTGTTTTTTATTAATGCCCACTTAATTGATCCAAAAATAACTCTGTTCTAGGAGAGTGTCAGATTTCAGCAAGGATACTAAACCTCATTTAAAATGGAACCTATTTTGTATGGCTTTCGAGAACAGACCTAATAGTCATTTTGTTCTTACCAAAAACACAGAGGCATTCTAAATCTGCTTAAATGCATATAATATACAAGTTAAAAATGATGTGTCGCAAACAACGGTTTAATATTGACCAAAAAAAAATAGCAATGTTCTTGAGAGCAGTTATCCAATGTATTTGCAAAGTTATGACTGATGTTTACCCTGGCTTGGGAATTCCTGAAAGCAAGAACAAGTGGCAGAGTAAATAGCTCCTGAGATGTGTCTGTGAGTGGGCATAAGAATGGAGAGAACGTGAGAAAAGCTTTCGGCACTTGGGTGTTCAATGCAGAGCTTGCTGGTGTTGGTCAGATTCTTGGTTCACATGCATGCTCAGGAGTTCATTGGATATCAAGTAAATACAGTTTTTCAGCATTTTTGTATTGTGGATAGGGGAGGAAGGACATTTGAAATAATACCAGTTCTTGTTTTTCTTTTTTTTTTTTAAGTAAAAATACATTATTTGGAATACATTATTAAGAGTATTAAAAGCATCTGTTGCATGGGGTTTAAACAATTTAATAGAACAGAACAGTCCATTCTGTTCCATGGGCCTTGCTATAACTGGGGAGGCTTGTAAGGAATGGCGATCTCTCCTCTCCTGCCAGATGCTTTCCAGGATCCTTGTTGATCCCTCACACACTTGGGTGCATGGGAATTGCATTCCTGCTGATTAAATGACTGGATTTTATACCAGATTGAGGGAGGAGAAGGAAATGCGGGGAACGGGGGCGATTGAGGGAGGGCTTGAAAGGAAAGCCTGTGGTGGCATCTGGGCCTGCAGGGGGGTTTCATTAAGGAAATGGGTGCGTTGAGGCTGCTGAAGATAGTGGGCTAGATTTCCTGCATTGCTGCTCGGGCGGATGTGGGGGGATGTCAAGAATTCCTGGGGATTTCCCATCAGTCTTGGTAAAGCTGGATGCCTAAGGAGCCGTTTCTGAGTATGGCTCCTGTCCTTGATTTTGAGCTCCTTGAGAGGCCTGGTCTTGTCTCAGATGCAAGCGTTGTGAGATGGACCTGGAACCTCACAGAGCCGATCTACTCATTCCAGAGATGAGAAAGACCCACCCAGAGTGGGTTACTGAACCTTTCCCTAGGTCAGGAGCCGGCTAGTGGCAGGTCCAGGAGCAGAACCTGATGATCATCAACAGATACCATTTCTTCTTCATTCGTGTTTCCATTTTTGTGACCGTTTTTATCCCATTGCATTTCCTCCGCCTCCTCAGAATCCTTCAAAGGCTCAAACAGTGTAGAGATGTTCAAATATTTGTTGAATCACATTCTTCCAGGCTAATGTTCCCTTTTAAACTCTGGCCACCAGTCTTTTTAACGTCAAGTTTTCTGAAAGCCCGTAAGGAGGTTTAAATTAAAAATACCAAAATAATGGCTCCTTAGTAGCATGAGAGATTTGGTGAGAAAATTAATTTTCCTCATGAGCTGGTAGGTACGTCTTTTGCACTGTTGTGGCTTAGATAACTGTGGGTACGGTCCTCGCTTCATCTTGTACCACATGCCTCATCACACCCTGTCTCTCAGCTACACAAACTCTACCCCAAGCAAATAAATGGCTCATCATCCTTCAAGTGGGCCTTGTACAGTCATCACTCCATGTTCACGCTTTGCCTGCCTGCAAGGCCCTTTTCACCCCACTGCACTTCAGCCTCCTCCACCTTCAAAAGCCTTCAAAGGCTC